AACTTGGTACTGGGCCTCCATGACAGTAGATTAAGAAAAATAACATACATATTTGAGTATATCGCTGTTTCCTCCTTACATCCTACTGAAGTAAATTTTTATAGGTTTCTCATTCATATTACACTCGCTGTTGAATGAAGTAGCCTCTTCAAAGGCCTGATCAATACTTTCAAAGTACAAGGACTTAAATTTTCAAAGGACTTGGGACTAAGCATAATGTTAGTTTCTCCACTGACACGAAAATCAAGTTGACATCCTGAAATCAGACCTAATTACTTGTAAGTGGCTCTGACTAAGCCACGTATATTATACAGATGTGATTTTATTGGTCAATACCATAATTTATTTGTTTATAAAATGAATACTTTCATTGTGGTAGTCAAATTCAAATTCTTCTTGATAAAACCCTGCATAACAACTAATTACTAGTGTTGCTGTATGTCTGTGTAAGCATCATATATTGCTAATAATAGACCTATTAGCTGTAGAATGTTAAGATGTTCCTTTCCTATGGATAAGAAAAAAAAATAACGTATTGCACACTGATCTGGAAAAAATATCCCAGATCTGGAGGTCAGAAATTTGGTTTGTAGTCTCAATGCTGAAGCTAAATCCTTTGTTTTCTTGTCTCCAAAGTTTATACTTTTCCTATTGTATTATTTCAGAGATTGAGATGTATCTATTTAGTATGTTGTGGTCTTTTTTTAGCCTCAAAATTTATCGTGTATCTCACAATGAATGGCATCTTAGAAATGAGATCTGATAGCTGCCTGACACTGGGTGTGAATCACCTATTTCTTAAGGTTTCCATTTCCTCATTTGTAAAATAAGGGATTATTACCAGAATATCCTTCCTTTTATAAAAGTATGTGGTTAGAACAGTTCAAGACCTTTACTGGGCAATGCCAGAATGGAAGAGATTGTACTAAAGGATGAAAGAATTTAAACAGAATAAAATCCTGTGGTTTACCTCCAGGAAGGCTGCAGGCGATCTGGAGAGGCGCAGCTCAAAGGCAAGGTGTTCCTGACAGTCCTCAGCGACCTTAAATGCAAATAAAGAGCATTCAGCTTAAGTGCTCAAGTGCAGAGTGACCTGGCAAAGAAGTGTTATCATCTGGGAAGAGTCAGTCAAGGTCAGAAGCCTCAGAACCAGGCACCTTGAGGCTCTGGCAGTGGAACCGGCTAGTGGGAGCAGAATCCCCACAGCCAACGGGAAGACCTCTGGATCCGTGCTGCCATGAAAAACTAAGTCTGAGCACATGGGTTAATGTAGCTGATCATTAGCATTCATTCAGAGAAGACATGAGCTCAGGTTTGAAGAGACTGTCTATAATATATGCAAGGTTCTGGGTAATGGACTATGAGGAAAATGGAAACCAGAAACCAAACGACCTTCTGAAATTGTGTGGTGCCTTCTTAGTAATCCTCCTTTACATTCACGTTCTTGGATGCCACTTGAAATCTGCTTTCCTTCCCTTAAAGATCTGCTCTAAGCCTGAAAGGAACTGAGGATAACAGATCTGCTTGTCCCGCTGCAAGGAGCAGCCCTGGCCTCCAGGTGTTGGTCCCTCACGTGCCCCTGTCTCCTCTTCCACGTTTCACTGTGTGGGCCCTGCTTGGAGCTGGGACATTTCATCTCCTCCAAGACAGGCCAGTGTGGTGAGAGCAGACATGGGCAGAGCTGATAGGCAGCCTATTGTTTTTAGGCTTAAGATTTGTTAAAAAACAAAGCAAAACAGAGAACACATACAACAAACATCTGAGTGCCCGCCACCCAGACATAACTGGCGTTTCAATTAGTTTATCACTGTGCTTCAGATAGGGTCCTTGCTGCTTTCCTTCAGTCTCTTTCTCCCCCTCCTCCTCTCTCCAGAAGCAGCCACTATCATGAATTTCATGCACATTCTACCAGTAAAGTCTGGGGCTGCTTAAGTCCCACTTTCAGGGTTGGAAGGTATGTTAGCGTCTAACCTCCTCTTGTTTCAAATAACGACATTAAATCCTAGAGGAACTGAATAAAGACTCCCCTCCCCCACCCTGCATCTGTCTCTCTGTCTCTCTGTCTCTCTCTCTAGCCCATTCTAAACTTATCCAGTGGCTACCATTTGCGCTTTTATGCAATACAAAGAAAAAGAGGCAGGAAGGAGAAGAGAGAAATGTGGCATGGTTTAATTTCTGTTATCAGGGAGGTGATATTTACACAGAGGAAACAAGAAATGATACCAGAGAGGACAGGATTAAAGGTTAACTTCTGCATGATCAGGGCCAAGTATAGAGCAGGTCCAGAAGGACCTTCTGGAAGGGCAGCGTTAGTGCTGACTGGGTTATTGGGAAAGGTTTGCTGCTGGGGACCAGCTTTTCCTGGGCCGCAGAGGGAGGGTTTACCTGAGAGCCTGAGGCAGAATGAAGAAGAGAAAGGAATGAAAGGTCACAGCAAGATGTGCTGGGAGCAGTGGAAGGTGAGAGGAGAGACAGACCACGGCAGGGTAATACAGATCAGTTGAAGAACTTTTCACCTATCAACCTTTATCTCTTTTCCCAAGCATAATGTCTAGTACATGGTGATAGTTTAAGGAAAGACACTGACTAGTAAGAATGCCAATTGGTACAACCTTTTTGGAGAAGTCTTTGTCTCAGAAGGCTCAGATATGTGTGTTCTTTGACCAGAAATCAGCCATGTGATTTCTAAGAGAAAAAAAAAAGTAGATAAATTAAATATTAAAAGGGCCATTGTAGTTAGTTATTTCTATATTCAAAATGGTGTTACTAGAGTCACAGTAAAATGTATGGGAACATAATATATTAAATTTAAAAAAAGAAAAACAAACATACAGTATATTTTTTGTTAAAAAATACATATACACATAGAAAAAAGACTAGGGAGAAAAATCACCTGAATATCAACAATGATTATTTCTGAGAGGTGGAACCTCTTGTGAGCTCTAGTCTCTTCCTATTGGTTGTCCAGATTTCCTAAATTCCCTTCAATGAACATGTGTGCTTTTGTAATTCAGAAAATTATAAAAATGGCAAACTCTAACAGTTATGTATTTGTTTATATAAAGTGAAATCTCATGGAGCTAAAAGATAAAATTATTTTCATTTATGAGAAAGAAATTTTCACTTGTTCTAGAACCTGAGGTGTAACGCTCTCGTAGTCTAAATTCCCAAATGATGAGGTGGTTGAGAAAGAAAACACACACTTCTAAACTTGTAAGAGGTAAAGAGTAACTTATGAGGCCTTAAGCGTTGAACAAGGTAGTGATTTCAAGGCTACATTAATTCCTTTAAGAGGACCATGCTGCCCAGGGCACTTCTTCAAAGGAACATTCTCACCTGACAGGTAGTATATATCTGAAGTATAGTTTAGTGTCTGTTGGCTTTCTTATGTTTGATAAACTACTCCTCAGTCAAGCTTTCCTTTTTACTTATATTTTGCTTAAAATGAAATATGTGCAAGCAAAAAAACAAAAAACACACCCAAAAAACCAGTATTTCTTTCCTGAAACAGGCATTTCTGATTTTGCCACTAACTTACCAATTATTTTGGGTAAGCTTTTAATTAGATCTTTAGATTCCCCCATAGAAAATGAGGTACTGAGGAAGGTTTTCTCTAACCTTAAAATTCTCTAGTTCTTTGAGTGTAACAGAAGTTCATATACAAATCATCATCTGTATACATGAGATCATTCTGAAAGAAAGAGGAATGCCAACTGACCCGCAGTTTTACCTCCATTTGTACCAAAAGGCATGTTTGGGGGCTAGGGAAAAGTTGCTACTGTATTTGAATTGAGTGGCCTTCATGTAGGCTAATGACCAGACCAGTCCCAACGGAAATATTTACTCTGCTAATCATTTAATCATTGTGAAAATAGACATCCGTGAGTAACAGAATTGATTAGCCCTGCCCCACTGTCTGTGTGTACAGAATCCAAAATAGTGGAACAGCTTAGGTGGCAGAGAGCAGCTAATGATGACAGCTGGCTCTGGTCACAGGATGACAGAAACCACAGGTAAGACAGCATCAAAAATGACTTTACCTAGTTCACAGATTTGACTATTTAAACAAAGAAACAAAACGTAAACAAATAAACAAGAGTGGGCCTTGCAAGGAGACATGACCTCACTGTTCAAGGGCTGAAATGAATGATCGATTCAACTCCATGAAGCTGGGGTCCAAGAAAGGAAAAAAAAGAATTTAATGGGTCCCATAAAACTCTGACCTAGCTCCTGGTAGGTCGAAAATAACTGACATGACTTTTTTTTTTTAAAGCAAAACACCTTTTCTTCCTTGTTTCATTATATATCATAAATGTAGATGAACTTGGAAATTTTAGTTCAGAAAACTTGCTTTTGAAATTCTAACCTTTTGTTCCTTAGCTAGCACACATTTCTCAGAACTTCTTAGAAGCTAAGCGTCCTGCAGTGCTTGGCATTTGCTGGGGTCTGGACAAAAGGATGAGATGAGAAGTGATTGCTGTTGTTTTTATTTTAACTGTGTTACTGTCCTCTGCCACCCCAGTTCCCTCAAAATGGTTTGAGTTCATGGTAGATATTTGGGAATACATTGTTCAGTTCTCTAGTGTTAGGAAATAGAGATGAAAAGGCCATGAAGAAAAAAGGTCAAAGAAATAAGTGGTTATTATCCCTCCTCATACAAATGACTAAGAAAAGGATGAAGATAATTCTTCCCAAACTCATATCCTCCATACCTTGCATGTGGATCTCTCTGGAAAACATCTGTGCCTGGCAGTGGGAAATGTGTGTGTGTGTGTGTGTATATACACTACACTTGCATGAGGTGGTCGGGAAATCTGTAACGTAGGTATTCAGAGACACGTGATATAGAGGAGAGGTGTTATTCCTGAGCTTTTATTGAAATAATATTGGAATGTTGGGGAGAAGCAGCAGTGCTGAACTTTTCTTTCAGTGTTCCCAGAAGCAAGCTAGCTTTTTTGACTTGGTATCACCAGACTCAAAAATTTGAATTTTTGGTGTAGGTCAGTGTCCCTGGAGCCCAGGACAAAGAGAATGAGCCTTCAGAGTCTACCTGGGCTGACAGCCTGGCCACCTCTCCTTCACCTGAGGCTGCCACCCGCCAGGGGCCATGGCTCAGGCCCCCTGAACATCAGACAGAGACCCTGGAAACCAGAACTCCGAGTCCTGTTTTGAACTTAGAGCCAGAAAAGTTGGCGCACAAAGGTAAGAGACGTCTGCCAATCAGCTGCTGCATCTATAATGTGAAGAAGGCCCAGAAAGGATGGTTTCTAAAATCTCATTCAAAGAGAACATGTTTTGACCCTAAACAGGGAGAACAAAGGTATTTTTCATTTTATTACATATAGAATTAGAAAATTGGCTGATGGTGGAAGAAATTTGGTCAATAAAAATTTGTAAAGCTCTTGTAGTGTTTACTAGTACTTTTTAAAATGTGAATGCCTTTAGAGAGGATTCTGCTTTCATGTTTACCATAGCCCCTACCACTCCCTATCTGAATTTTTGACCTCTGGATTGTAGAAAGCAAAGAAAGCTGGAATCTAGCTAGAAGCTAAAATCTGAATTCCAATTCATCAGCATATTTTCAATGGAGTTCATATCTATAGAAATTAATTATTATATACATACTTTTCAAAGAACGTGCATGAGAGATAATACCCTTGCCCCAAAGCAGCTTAGACTGGCTTGACAAAAGTTACATGATATACATCATTTAGTAATTGTTTTTTAGAGTAGGGGCAGTGAAAATCCACTGCTATTCCCATTTGGTCTAAGAGGTAGATTTGGAGGTTAGTTTTAGAACATAAATGATTGAGACATAACTCCAAATCCAGGGAAATGATTATGGGACATAAAGAAAGGGCTTGTGTTGTTATTGAGGCTTATGGCATATCAATGATCTCACAGAACACAAGTCTCAAGCAATTAGTACCTATTTGGTCTTTTTTGAGGCTTTTCTCACCTTGGAATCACTTCCTCAGGTAAGAAATACTAATCAAGCACTAAGGGATACCACAAAATAAAAAGGGATTTAACAAATGGCTTCATTGTTGTAGCTCCCCTTTACCTTTTTAAAAAACTTTTTGGTATAGTGTGTTTCTGAAACTTATTTGTAAACTGACATTAGAAGGTCATAATTTCATTGCCCTATAAGAGTTGCTCTTTTAAAAAGAGACTGTGATGTAAAGAGAGCCTTTCACAGTTGCGACCATTGTTGGTACTTACTCAAGTGACTTCCTAGAAGCAGCCCACACTTCTGATGGCAATGCAATTGCCAGAATTCCCACACTTCCTTGTTGCACACCCTAGCCCAAGCCAAGGGAACGTTCTGGCCCTGCTCACTCCATACCACAGCCTAGCACCAGATCTGGGTAGCCATGACAGGAGAAAAGATGCAACCACACGCTGGATCTGAGTGGACCCACAGACACCCGCACAGGCATAGCATCAGGACTCTGTGAATACATGAACCCCACTTGCTTTAACATTTCCCTCCTTTCAGGCAAAAATCCCAGAGTGGGGCAAAGGAAAAAACATACTTAAAGGGAAAAGAGCCTGCTCAAGCCTGACCTTTAGGGCATCTGCTCCAGAAAGGTGGGAGCAAACCCTGCCCCAACAGGGTGTTGATGACCACAGAGCAGAGAAGAAGTCCAGCCTCACACCAGCTCCAGCTCTAGCTCCTCCATCTCCAGCCCCACCCCCTACCAGGTGATAGCTGCCAGCACACCCTGAGGAAAGACACGGCTGGCCTCCACACTGAATCCAGCTCTCCCACCAAAGGCACTGGGTACACACGGTATGCACAGAGATGCTCCCACATAAGAGCACCCTTTCAAGACCAAAAGAGGTAACTGTTTCACCTAGACTCATAGAGTCAGAGAAAGCCAAGCAAAATGAAAAGGCCAAGAAAAAATTCCTGAAAAAAAATAATGAAAGAGAAATAAGCAACTTACCAGATAAAGAATTCAAATTTTTGGTAATAAAATTGCTGACTGAATTAGAGAAGAGAATTGATCTAAACACTGATAGTTTTTAAAAAGAACTAGAAAATATAAAGAAGACCCAGTCAAAAATAGGTAATTCAGAAATTGATACAACGTTGTAAACTGACTTTACTTCAATAAAAATACATTTAAAAAATTGTTATTTCAATATCTGATATAAAAATACTCTAGAAGCAATGAATAGAAGAATAAATGATAGAGAAGAACACGTAAGTGATCTGGAAGACTGAATGGTGGAAATCACCCAGCCAGAACAATAAACAGAGAGACAAGTGGAAAAAGAAATTGCAACATACAGGATCTCTGGGACAACATCAAATGTGCCAACATTTGTGTTAAAGGGTTTCCAGAAGGAAAAGAGAGAGAAAGAGATAAAAAATGTATTTGAAGAAATTATGACTGAAAATTTCCCAAACCTAAATAAGGAAACAAATATCCAGCTACAGGAAGCACTGTGTCTCCCAAACAAGATAAACCCAAACAGACCCACACAAAGACTTATCATAATTAAAATGGCAGAAGTTAAACGTAGAGAGATTTCTAAAGGTAGCAGGAGAAAAAGAGTCATATACAAGGGAATCCCCATAAGTCTATCATCTGACTTCCCTGCAGAAAGACTGCTGCCCAGAAGAGAGTGGCATGATACAGAGGGCTGAAAGGGAATGACCTGCAGCCTAGGATAGTCTACTCAGCAAGATTATCATTTAAAATAGAAGGAAAGCTAAAGAACTTCTCAGAAAAGCAAAAACTATGTCTATCCTATGTCTAGAAAAAGACAAAGAAGGGCATTATATAAAGAATCTAATAAGGAGGTAACAAATAAAGATTAAAAACAATAGAAAAGATCAATGAAACAAAGAGCTGATTTTTTAAAAAGATAAACACAATTGATAAACCTTTAGCCAGACTCACTAGAAGAAAAGAAAGAGATAACTGATAACACAGAGATGCAAAAAAAAAATTGCAAGAGAATACTATGAACAGTTATATGCCAAAAAATTGAACAACCTAGAAGAAATGTACAAATTTCTAGAAAAATACAGCCTGCCAAGACTGAGTCAAGAAGAAACAGACAATTTGAACAAACAAATCACCAGTAGTGAAATTAAATTTGTAATTTAAAAACTCACAGCAAACAAAAATCCAGGACTGGATGACTTCACTGGGGAATTCTACCAAACACAGAAAGAAGATCTTATGCCCATCCTTCTCAAACTCTTCCAAAAGATTGAAGAGGAGGGGAATACTCTCAAACTCATTTTACAAGGCCATAATTACTCTGATACCAAAACCAGAAAAAGACACTACAGAAAAAGAAAATTACAGACCTATGTCTTTGATGAATATAGATGCAAAAATTCTCAATAAAATATTAACAAACTGAACCAGCAATATATAAAAAGGATCATACACCATAGTCAAGTTGGATTTATTCCAGGGTCACAAGGATGGTTCAACATTTGCAAATCAATCAATGTGATATACTACATTAACAAAAGGAAGAATAAAAATCACATGATAATCTCAATTAATGCAGTAAAAGCATTTGACAAAATTCAACATACATTCATGATAAAAACTCTCATCAGAGTGGGTATAGAGGGAACATTTCTCAATATGATAAGGCCATTTATAACAAACCTATAGCTTTTCAATGGTGAAACGTTCAAAACCTTCCTGCTAAATTCAGAAACGAGATAAGGCTGCCCACTCTCATCACTTCTGTTCAACGTAAGGTTGGAAGTCCCAGCCACAATAGACAAGAAATAAAATGTATCCAACTGGAAAAGAAGAAGTAAAACTGTCACTATTTGCAGATGACATCATACTCTATATAGAGAACCTTGAAGTCTCCACCCAAAAACTAGTAGAAAAAAACTTCAGTAAGGTTGCAGGATATAAGATTAATATATAGAAATCTGTTGTATTTCCATACATTAATAATGAAATATCATAAAAAGGAGCTAAAAAAGAGAAAGTGAAAAAAATCTTGTTTAAAATTGCATCCAAAAGAATAAAATGCCTATGAATAAAATTAATCTAGGACTTGAAAGACTTATACTCTGAAAAATATAAAACATTGATGAAGGAAACTGAAGATGATACAAAGAAATGAAAAGATATCTCATGCTTAATATGCCCATACTACCCTCAGCAATCTGCAGGTTTAATACAATCCCTATCAAAATACCCATGACTTATTTCACAGAATTTGAACAAATAATCCTAAAATTCTTATGGAACCACAAAAGACCCTGAATTGCCAAAGCAATTTTGAGAAAAAAGAATAAAGCTGGAGGTATAACTCTCCCAGACTTCAGACTATACTACAAAGCTACAGTATCAAACAGTGTGGTATTGATTCAAAACCAGACACATAGATCAATGGAACAAAGTAGAGAGCCCAGAAATAAACCCACAGACGTCTAGTCAACTAATCTACAACAAAAAAGGCAAGAATATACAATGGAGAAAAGACAGTCTCTTCAACAAGTGGTGCTGGGAAAACTGGACAGTAAATGTAAAACAACAAGATTAGAACATTCCCTCACACCATATACAAAAATAAACTCAAAATGGTTTAAAGAACTAAATGGAAGACCTGAAACCATAAAACTCCTAGAAGAGAACATAGACAAAACATTCTCTGACATATAGTAATATTTTCTTGGATCAGTATCCTAAGGCAAAAGAAATGAAAATAAACAAATAAAACCTAATCAAACTTAAAAGCCTTTGCACAGGAAAGGAAACCACCAATAAAATGAAAAGACAGCCTACAGAAAGGAAGAAAATATTTGCAAATGATGAGACCAACAAGGGATTAACATCCAAAATATATAAACAGCTCATACAACTCAATATGAAAAAAATAAACAACCCCATCAAAAACTGGTTAGAAGACCTGAATAGACATTCCTTCAAAGACATACAGCTGGCTAACAGGCACATTAAAAAATGCTCAACATCACTAATTATTAGAGAAATGCAGATCCAAACCACAATGAGATATCTCCTCTTATCTGTCAGACTGGCTGACATCAAAACGTCTATAAGTAACCAATGTTGGAGAGAATGTGGAGAAAAGGGAACCTTTGCACACCGTTGGTGGGAATGTAAATTCATGCAGCCACTATGGAAAAAAGTATGGAGGTTCCTCAAAAACTAAAAATAGAACTACCATGTGACCCAGCAGTTCCTCTCCTGAGTATTTATCTGGAAAAAAGGAAAACACAAATTGGAAAAGATACATGCACTCCAGTGTTCATAGAATACTACTTATAATAGCCAAGACACAGCAGTAATCCATCAATAAATGACTGGATTAAGAAGATATGGTCCATATACACAATGGAATATTACTCAGCCATAAAAGCAATGAAATTCTTTCATTTGCAGCAACACGGATGGACCTAAAGAATACTACGCTTAGTAAAATAATTCAGGCAAACAAGATAAATATATTGTGTGGTATCACTTATATGTGGAATCTGAAAAGTAACATAAATGAATGTATATGAGAAACAGAAAAAGACTCCACAGATATAGAAAATAAATTTGTGGTCACCAAAGTGGAGATGGAAGTGGGGAGGGGCAAATTAGGGGTATAGGATTAACAGATACAAACTACTATGTATAAAATTGATAGGCAGCAAGAATATACTGGATAGCATAGGGAATCACAGCCATTATCTCATAATAATCAATAATGAAGTATAATCTGCAAAAATACTGAATCATTATGCTATACACCTGAAACTTATATAATATTATAAGTCAACTACACTTCAATAAAAAAAAGAAAGAGCCCTTCATTTTACCTTTTTTGGTAACTTAGAGATATTTTCTTTTTCTAGTAGGCACAATTATACGTGATCATAGTGGTGCTTCCTGTGAACAAACTGGGAGGGAATGTGTACAGAAGGGTGAAATTATCTCCATTACAAATATTAATTTGATTTCAAATCAAGTCCAAAGTAAATGAAGAAATCCTATCTTTTTCCTGTCAGTTAATCCCCACAAGAGTATTAGCCAATGAAGGCTCACAGTATTATGCTTTTGGGGAAATATGTATTTTAATGGAGTTTCATGAAGATAAAAAATGTTTATGTTTTCAAAGGAATGACTATCTAATAGTAGAGTTTCAGATAGTTGAGGAAATATTTTGGGTAATAAGGAACTCTTCCTTAACTTAGAACCATATTTTCTTAGTGGGCATGTTAGTGTGCATGGAGACTAAGCTTCATAGAGCTTTTACTTTTCATCTTTTCGGCGAAAGAAAAACCTATAGTAACACGTTATCCTTTTCTCACTCTAGATCCTAGATGTTTGGAACCTCTACAGCCAGGAAACTGTGGCGAATATGTGGTTCGATGGTATTATGACAAACAGGTCAACTCCTGTGCCCGCTTTTGGTTCAGTGGCTGTAATGGCTCAGGAAATAGATTCAACAGTGAAAAGGAATGTCTGGAAACCTGCATTCAAGGATGAGCAAGTAAATCAACCTCTACTGAGTCAAATCTACGTCTCCATCAACAAGCCTACAAAGAACCACTATAATTTCAACATTCATCCAATACCAATAAAACACCATATCTGAGCACATACTGAGCATTTACAATTTATAACCTTAGTTGAATCCCACTGTAGGACATAGATATTATTAACTATTTTCACAGATGAAGAAGCTGAGATTCTGAGAAGTTTAGGAACTTCTCAACAGTCACCCAACTAAAAAGTGGCAGAGCTAGGGGTCTGATTCAGGGCTATGTAACCTCAACACACAGATTCTCCTTCACCACCTGCAATGTGGTTCTGATTGCTGTTCATTCCTTTGCTGTGTACTACATCAGATTAAACTCTTGCCCTAGACCACCCCTACTCCCTCTGGACTCCTAGTTTTGCGCACTCACCTCAGTTCCCCAGCACCCCCACAGCCCTGCTGGTAGCAAGTTCGCTCGTAGGGAAGGAGTTGGTTGTAGGCATTAGAAGTGATGGGAGTATGTTTTCGTGTAGACGATGGTGAGATAAGAAAGATATCTGCTTAGGGGAAATCCAGCAAGATGGAGTGGTTCTGAGAGATGAGAGGCACTGGGATAGGAGCGGAGGTGGTGAGGATAGTTAAGTTTTGCCTTACTTGCTCTGAAAGTGATTAAGAAACCAATCTGAATCACAATGACTTAAATTTATTAGTGACCATCATTCCTCACTCTTCCAACATATTTGGAAGAAAAACCTTTATTGTATGTTTAAACAGTATATTTAAAAATGAAAATTGTAATTTAGACAAAGGAATTTTTTCCATCCCTCCTTTAAAATGTACAGATGCAACTTCAGTTTTAGCGGGGTGAGATGGGCAGGCACTTGACAGCCAAGGACTACTTGAAGCCTACATCCACTCTTGAGCAGAGTATATCAAAAACAGAGTGTACACTGAAAGACGAGCCACCAACTTGAAATATGACCCAAGAGAGGGGTAGAGAATTAGCTCTGTCATTTTATAATAATCTTGTGACATCCAGTCTGGGAAGATCGTTGGTTCTGAGATGAACTCAGACAGCATCGGTATATATAATCTCACGACACACTTTCCTCTTCTTTCAGGACTGGGACCCTCATTCAAGTTTGGGGGTACACAAAAGAGCACCCAAGGAAGGAGGAGCTGGCAGAACAACCACCTTAGAAAAACAATTTTGTACAGTTTATGTTTTTAATGTGTAATATTTGATACAACCAAATAATATATGCAATATACTTGTAACTTAAAAAACATGATGGTAAGATGGGCACCAGTGAACACGTCACATGGAGAATAAACCAAACATGGCCAGTTCTTTTAAAGATTCCTGTATGCCTTCCACCTTCCCAACCCCCTGCTTTCTGCCAGGGATATCTCATTGTGAATTCTGTGCTTACCATTTCAATTTGCTATTGGTTTTAATATGTATTTTTACATGTAAAACCACATGTATCTCTATGCATCTTTAAACAATACATAGTCTTGTTTATTCTAGAGCTTTATAAAAATGGTGTCATACTCAAGTCTTCTGCAATTTGCCACTTTTATTCAATATTATAATTCCCAGGTTTTACTATATCTAAATGTATTCCTAAATAATGTATTATTTGGGTTTTTCTGAGCTTTAAAAAATTGGTTTCATAATACATAAGTCCTTGCCACCTGCTATGTTATTACATTGCAATTCATACATGCTCATTTACTTTCACAGTTGTATAACACTGGCATGAATATATCACAGCATATTTAACCATTGCCTCGTCTATGTTAAATTGTTTCTATTTAATTTTTTTCACTATTCCATCAGTGTTGCTATGAATGCTCTTACACACGGCTTTGGGTGCACATGCACTAGTGTTTTTCTAGCATATATATGCCAGGAGTTGCTGGGTTGTAGGATATGTAAATTTTCAAAAATAACGTGTCATACCAAATTTTTTCCCAAAGTATTTGAATTCATTATAAATTCCCACCAGTTGTGTATAAGAGTTTCTATTGCTTGACATTCTTTTCAACACAGTATTGTCAGACTTCTTCATTTTGCTAATTGTGGATGTAAAATGGTATCTTGTTTTAATTTGCCTTTCTCTGGTAACATCTTACCATATTTATTTACCATCTGTGCTGTTGCTTCTGTGAAATGTCTGTTTATAATTGGGGGCGAGTTTTCTACTGAATTGCTTGTCTTTGCTTATTGACTTTCTGGAGTTCCTTATATATTCCGAAATTGAATTCTTTACTCATTGTTTGTGTTGCAAATATCTTCGTGGCTTGTCTTTTTACTCTACTCAATTTTTAAAAAATGAACAGAAGTTCTCAATTTGAATGCACTTTTTTTCCCTTGTTTATGCCACTCAGCCTCTCAGCTACTTTTCTTGGGTGGGAAACTCGCCCAGGACAAAAAAAATCCTGATCTGGTGCTGGGTGTACCTCTCTAGATACCCATCTTCATGCCTGGTATTTCCTTACGAGCCTATGAGCACCTTGGTGATTTCCAGGTGATTGTTTTCCCTTCGTCTTTTTCAGTTGTCTCAGCATGAAAGTGGTTCTGTGCTACACAGATGGCCATACAGCATTTGCTGTTGTTGTTGTTGCTGTTGTAGGATGGAGGGCTTTGGGTATTTTCTTATTTCTAGAAGCCCAGAAATGCATTGAAAAGCATATATTAGTCACCATATGGTTGCTGGAAAGTAGAAAGACCCTTCAGAGTATCTAACCTGCTATTTTGCCAGAAGCAGAAGTACTTGTGTTCCTTTTCCAAGCTGTTCACAACTTTACCCATATAGAAAACTGATATGCAAACATGCAGTAATATTGAGTTGGATGTTCATCCTTTTATCTGAAATGTGATTAATGAAATCCCAATGCTCCAGGGACAACCTGCAGGTCTCCTTGTGTGAAGCTTCTGCATCTCTCTCATTAAAAAATATTAGCGCTCACTTTATAAAAGTTATTACAGAAATAATTAACTCCTTGGAGGAGAGGAATAGGCAAAGTTTAGAAAAAAAATCACACCAGTTTAAAAGAATAAGAGAAAAGTGATATGTCAATGAGTAAAAACTATTATTCTCCCTTCCCCTTTGAGATTCAGGACACTCCTCCCCTATCCCCCCATCATAATTAGGAAAAACAAAGGGAAAACAAACAAAGGAAAACAGAGGGAGTGTTGTCTAGCTAGAGAATCAAAGAGACTGAATTGAACAACCTGAGAATTAATTCTGGAAAAGAGAATGATGATTTATTTTTTCATTTTAAGCTAGTTAAAAAGTCAATATGGAAATAGCCCAAGTGCCCATCAACAGATGATTGGCTTAAGAAGATGTGGTGTTTATATACAATGAAATATTACTCAGTCATAAAAAATGAAATATTGCCATTTGTAGCAAAATGGATGGACCTAGAGAATATTATGCTTAGTGAAATAAATCAGACAAAAAAAGATAAATACTGTGTTATATCATTTATATGCAGAATCTAAAAATTATTTGTATTATTACAAATGAATCTATACATGAAACAGAAACAGACTCCCAAACATAGAAAACAAACTTATAGTTACCAAAGTGGAGAGGGAGGAGGGATAAATAAAGAAATATGGGAATGATAGATACTAGCTACTATACATAAAATAGATAAGCAATAGGGATTTACTGCATAGCATAGAGAATTATACCCAGTATCTTCTAATAACCTATAATGGAATATAATCTGCAAAAAAACCAAAATCCCAAACTGAATTACCATGCTGTACACCTGAAACTAATGAAATATTGTAAATCACTACACTTCTATTTAGAAAAAGCCAAGAGAGATGGGTGAGATATATGACATTTTGTTTCTCCGTTCTCAAATGGATAAAGGGCAGACTATGTACACAATGTGCTAAAACTAAGAATGTTTATTGAAAGTAGTCTCCATTTTAAATTAAGACATTGAGCAATTTTAGTATTTTATCAAGTACTAATGATGTTCAAGAATTTCAACAATGAGAAATCTCCACTGAAATGTTAAAATATTAGGTAATCATTTCTATCTTTTTCATTTAGTTGAAACCTCAGCTTTACTGACTGTAAGAAATGCTCTAATCCAGGTATCTGGAAAGCATACCAAATTTATAAAATGACAATTAGGTTTGGTAATTTTAGTCTTAATGTTTATCCTAAACACAACAAAAAGGAAATGAAAGAATGGAGAAAATGATTTGCATGTAACATGTAAAATAATTGTTTCACATTGCTAATAAACCAAGAGATACTATAAATCAAAAAGAATAAAAAGGGAAAAAATAGGAAAGCAATAGGGACTGGCAATTT